TATCTGATTTTTTTGGAGGATAAGCTTACATAATTAAGTTAGATTAGGGTTGTAGATATGTGTAGTATTATGTGCTAATAATTTTTTAGTAAGGGTATTTTGGTCATTTTAACAGAAAAATGTTACTAAAATAGGAAAGAAATAAGTTTGTTGCAATAATAGTTAACACCCGTTTTTGGTAAATGTTGCAGATAACCGTTAACGGAGGAAGTAATTGATCTTGTTTATAAAAAAAAGATAGTGTTCATTAAGAAAGGAGACAAATTATGCATCAAAAATCTAAATATACAACAGGTACTCCGTAGTAATTAAGCAGCGTTGGTATTTGGTATACATGTAAATATGTAATAATTTTTTTTTTTGAAAGAAGTCCTATTTCATTAATGAAAGCCATACGACATCTATAATTGACAATTAACGATAATGAAAATAGATTTAACAAGAATTATCCACGGAAGGGCTAAGAATCCAAATACATACATTTAACAATTCGGCACATTCTCAATTCGTTGTCTCATACAACTTTTTGAGTGGATCCGTCACCGCTTCATAATTTGATTGTGAGAGTGAAAATTATTGTGCTGATTTCTTAACCCGAATCCGAGCCAATTGTAGCCCCGCACAACTACAGACCATATTAAGCGCAAATAAAACCTTGTCTTTCAAAGGAGATTGAAAAACCTTGACTTTCGAAGGAGATCGAAAAAACCTTGTCTTTCGAAAGAGATCGAAAAAACCTTGTTTTTCGAAGGAGATCAAAAAAACCTTGTCTTTCTAAGCAGATCGAAAAAACCTTGTCTTTCGAAAGAGATAAACCCTTTCTTTTGAAGGAGACATTATTATAACCTAAGAAACAAAAAAAACGTAGAGGAAACAAAGATTGGGGCTTTCCACCGGTAAAATCCGATGAAAGCCCCTTCAAAATTAACAATGGAGGCTAGAGAGAAGAGGCTAGGGTTTTTTGGTAAATATATGTAATAATATTAAATTAACAAGTACATACCATTCTTTTAAATTGTGATGGGGCAGCAAAAGGCTGCCCAGGACCTGCAGGGGGTGGCGGGATCATCAGGGACCATGAAGGGCGTTTTGTTTCAGCTTTGGCAGCCAATTTTGGAGTGTGCACAGCCTTTAAAGCAGAAGTTAAAGCACTCATAAGGGGACTAGAATTAGCCAAGAATCTACAAATCTCAAAGCTGGAGGTTCAACTGGATAATCTAGCCTGCATAGAAGCATTACAGAGGAAGGAAGTGCCACAAGGAGAAAATATACAGGCGTTACAATACTGTCAGCAATTGCTCAAAGATACAAGATGGCAAGTTAAAGTGGCACATGTGTATCGCGAGGGAAATAGAGCGGCGGATTGGTTGGCCAACCGCGGAGTCATGTTGGACTCTCACTTGATTATATTTACTGTTATTCCGTCAGAGTTAGGTCGTATCTTAGTGGAGGACGCTAGGGGTGTGGCTTTACCACGTCTGGTCCCTCCGTAGTTTAGGGTCTTTCTGGTTTCGTTTTGTTTTTGTTTTTCGTTTCTTGCTTGTTTTTCTTTCTTTTATTGGCTTTTAGCTTCAGTTGGAAAAAAAAAAAAAAAAAAAAAAAAAAAAAAAAAAAAAAAAAAAAAAAAAAAAAAAAACCAAGTACATACCATTCCACATTTTACGGATCATCTATTATTTGTTGACTAGGAATATTAACTTCGTGGCAACAATTTTTTTTTTTGTTCGATTACTCTCTTTAATGTTTGACGGGACGTACGAGATATTCTAATAAGCAGCAAGATCAAATAGTTTAAATAGTACTCGTACTAAACATGTTTGTATCGTATGGTTTAGCAGAAGTTGATTTGCAAAAATAACTCTCCATTCACTATTATTTCCCTTGACTAATAGGCAATACGCCCATGCGTAAGAAAATGAGCAATGGGGTTTCAGGTGGTATCTTAAGTCGGCTAAAAAGTAGACTACTCAAGAATGACAATCTCATTAAATAAGGGATGAAGTCCTGGAGGGAGTATACATGTCGCATAGGGCCTACAATATGTCTAGACAATATTGACCAACAATTATACAGATTTGTTATTTGGAAAGACATTCCAATGACAGTACATCGACTTCAATAAGAAATTGTGCATTGTTCTTGAAAAAGTTTATAAATAGTTCGTCTTGTGTTTTAATTGGTGAATTCTCAAAATTGAAGCAAAATTGCTTCTAAGGTTACAACCCTTATTGGGGTTAGTGTTGCAAACAAGTTGATAAGTCGTGTATTGTGCTTGTTTTTAGGGTCTTTTTACGTAGTTTTTGAGTCTAAATTAGTTGTTTGTAGCTTATTTTGGCTTGATTTGGTGTGGTTGTGATCATATGATGCTTTTATGGGTAGCTTCGTTGTTTTTGATGTATTTCAGGATTTAACGAGGCTATGTGAAGGTTTTACGAAGTTACGAATCTTGATCATAGCTTGCAATTCACTTTGAAGGCCAATGTGGGATGTTGAAGTGGAGTGTGACTTTCTATTTAGTTGCTGTAGGAGTTAAATTTGGCTACTTGGTTTGTTTCAGAATGATCTTGTTTTGAATTTCCTAATCAATTTGGTAAATGGATTAATTGCAATTTATAATTTGTAACCTTTTTCCTGCCAAAGCATTTTCTTATATTTTTTATTTTTAATTTCCCTTCTCCTTATAAATCATATTAATCTTAGATATCTCCATATAGATACTTGGTAGCGATTAATAATATGGCATGTTAAGACTTTTTTTCTCTTCTCATTCCTTCTATATTAGGGGCATGCTGGGATTGTGGGTAATACATTAAGGGGTTGTAAAAGTCAAACAAAAAAATTAAATGTAAATGAAGATAATGTTAAAGAGGATGAGGTGGTGATGAAGGATAGACGGTACATGCTAGTGGTGGCATGAGGAAGAATGGGAGATTGGAAGATTATTACCCTCATAGTGGGGTAAAAGTTACCCACCACCACACTAGGATAACAATTACCCCCAAAATGAGGAAAATAGTTCCCCTCTCTCCCTCATCATCACACCATCACTACCTTATTTTCCTTGTAATTACACATCACTATTTCATTTTTTCTTACAACTACCTCAATCTATCTTCATTTTTTTTTGTTTGACTTTTTTACCCCCTTAATACACTACCCCCATTCCAAGCATGCCCCCTAGATGTTATTTTGGTTTATTTTATGTACTTTGTATATCATCAAAATATTAACTTTTATTAATATTTTTTTACTAATAAATAATCAAAGATATTGAAGATCAAAGTTAGGATAAAAGTCAAAGTGTATGAGAACGGTATGAGTAATTGAATTTATGTCATGTTGGTTAAGTCATGTCACTCTAACTATACACATGGTGACATGGATGAATGGAATTGGGTATGCGATTATCTTTCATGGGATTGTAACTAGAGCTGTCAAAAGCTGACCCGATTCGAAATACAGACCCGAATCCGGTTATTAACCGACCCGTCTAAACCCGGAAAAATGATGACCCGAACCCAATATGACCCGACCTGAAACCAACCCTAGACCCGAATTAACCCGAGTATTTGAGACCCGAATCCGAACATGAACCGACCTGGAGATGACCCGACCCGAATATAACCCGTAAAATATTGACTTGAACCGAACCCGACCTGAACCACAATTGACCTAAACCCATTTTAACCCGTCAAAACCCGAATTTAACCCGACTTGAATTCAACCCGACCTATTCTTAATCCGACCCGAATTTAACGCGACCCGAATTTAACCCGACCTATTACTAACTTGACCCGAAATTCAACCCGATCTGTCACTAACCCGACCCGAAATCAACCTGACTTGTTATTGACCCGAAATTAACTAGCAATCTAGGATTACGTCATATTTTTTTTTTCCCCTAATTCTATGAGTTATTTTCCTATTTAAGTTTATTCAAATATTTTCAATAAAATTCTCTATTATCAAATGTATTACAATTTATATGTCTCAAAAAAAACCTATAAATATTTATGAATACCACTACTTTTTGGATGCATGTGCATTCTTTATTTAAATTTAGTAATTACGATTTACGAATACTACAACTTTTTAAAATGTATTACAATTTATATGTCCCAAAAAAACCTAAAAATATTTATGAATACCACTACTTTTTGGATGCATGTGCATTCTTTATCTAAATTTAGTGATTACGATTTACGAATACTACTACTTTTTAGGTGCAAATTCATTCTATATTTCAATTAAGCAATTATGGTTTACGACTACTACTTTGTAGGTGCATGTGCATTAATGTAGTCAATTACGGTTTACAAATACTATTTGACCTTAGGCTTGTTTGTTTTATCTTATATTTTATAAAAAAAAAAAAATTCAAATAAAACCGAACCCGAGAATGACCTGACCAGATTATAACCCGCAAATTGAACCGAACCCGACTCGAACCCGAGATTGACCCTAACCCGTTTTAATCCGAATTAAACTCGACCTATTATTCACCCGACCCGAATGTAACCCGGTCTGTTATTAACCCGACCCAAACCCGATAAGATGACCCGACGTTACCCGACTCAAGCATGACCCAACCCGAACCCAACCCATATAGGTTACGACATTAATCAGAAATGATCCGATCCGAGTTGATCCAAACACGACCTATTTACCCGAATTAACAGCTTTTTTTTTAACACAAAAGGGAAAAGCATATACCACGTATTACATAAATACGGCAGCAGCCATATTAACAAAATACAATTCTTTCTTTCAAAAAAAAAAAAAAAATACAAGATCGCGCCAATACACAAAAGCTTGCAAGAATAGCGTTAGGTTGCCCAATTTTCCCTTCTTCGATCAAATAATCTCTCTCCTTTGAATCATTGACGTGTACGCTGATTTTCCCCAATTTTCCCTTTTTCGATCAATATCAATTCAACGCTTTTTCCTCCATTGAAGCGTAATTTGAGCTCTCCTCCATTAAACAGCTTCTTGAGGTAAGATGTTTTGGCGATGGCGGGATAAATCTTGAATTTCATTGTTTGAATTTCTTATTAGGGTTTAGTAATCTTAGTTGAATATTGATTATTAGGGTTTTATAATTCTTTTATTATTTCATTTAGGGTTTAGTAATCTTAGTCATAAATTTTGTTTTCCTTGATTTTTTTTTTTTCTTTTCGCAGATGGAGAATGCGCAATTCGAGTTAGTTTTTGAGAAATATCTTACTGCATCTGATGTCAATTCTTACTGCATCATCTTTCGAGAAGAAGTTGAATATTTTAGAACAATGTTGCATCCGGATGATAGACAAAAATTATTGGCTGGAAAAACAATTTTTTTCTTGGCACAAGATAATAATAATCTTTGGCGCTTTAAATGCAAATTAAATGATAGAAATGAGGGTAAACTATTTGGGCAGTGGAACAGATGTGTTGAAGTTAATAACATCGTCGAGAATACCCTCTTAAGATTTGAGTGGGCGGCAGCCGATAAAAGGGCTAGGCTTACGTTTCAATTGCCAATTGTATATGGCGGATTACAAATGGAACCCAATCCGATTACAGATCTTATTGACTTCGAAAATCTGGAACCTGAAAATCTGGAACCTGAAAATCTGGAAATGTTACCCAATCCGACTCCAATTCAAGCAATGGGTCCGAACCCAAATGAAGGAATTGGTTCTGATTCTATCGACAGTTTGACAGCTCTTATTGACTTCGAAAATCTGGAACCTGAAAATCTGGAACCTGAAAATCTGGAACCTGAAAATCTGGAAATGTTACCCAATCCGACTCCAATTCAAGCAATGGGTCCGAACCCAAATGAAGGAATTGGTTCTGATTCTACCGACAGTTTGACAGCTCTTATTGACTTCGGAAATCTGGAACCTGAAAATCTGGAACTCAATGCTCCACTCAATAATGAAGCTGGATCAGGATTCTTTGAAGGGGAATCTCTACCTCCTCAATCGGGAGCAGTCAACTCTCTCAATCAAGCTGTATCATTCAATACTCTAGGGGTTAGTTCTGAAAGTATAGCTTTTAATGAAACATTTCTTTTTTTTAAATAAAAGATTTATAATTGTGTTTTTTTTTATGCAGGATGTTGATATGGTCAATATGAATGAAAGTAATGCTCCACTCAATAATGAAGCTGGATCAGGATCCTTTGTACCTACTCAATTGGGAGCAGTCAACTCTCTTAATCAAGCTGTATCATCCAATACTCAAGAGGTTAGTTCTGAAATTATAGCTTTTAATGAAACATATTTTTTTTTTAAATAAAAGATTTATAATTGTGGTTTTTTTATGCAGGGTGTTGATTTGGTCAATATGAATGAACGTTTGACCAAGAGAATAAAGACTATGGTTAGTGCTTTTAATTTGTAATTTTGACATAAAATGTATTCAAATCTTTGGTTTGTTTATGAATAAGCAAGTAATTGATTGTTTGGTACTAAACTGCATTGTCATTCTGCATATACTTGTTCTGATAGCGCGATTTGAGGTTGACTACTAAAATCTAATCTTTTGCCTCTTTTGTGAATTTTGGATTAGGGTTTTTTGAATTGATTTGTTTGGTGTTGTGGGTTGAATGAAAGTTTAATCTTTGGTTTGTTTATGAATAAGCAAGTGATTGATTGTTTGGTACTATACTGCATTGTCATTCTGCATATACTTGTTCTGATAGCGCGATTTGAGGTTGACTACTAAAATCTAATCTTTTGCCTCTTTTGTGAATTTTGGATTAGGGTTTTTTGAATTGATTTGTTTGGTGTTGTGGGTTGAATGAAAGTTTAATCTTTGGTTTGTTTATGAATAAGCAAGTGATTGATTGTTTGGTACTATACTGCATTGTAATTCTGCATATACTTGTTCTGATAGCGCGATTTGAGGTTGACTACTAAAATCTAATCTTTTGCCTCTTTTGTGAATTTTGGATTAGGGTTTTTTGAATTGATTTGTTTGGTGTTGTGGGTTGAATGAAAGTTTAATCTTTGGTTTGTTTATGAATAAGCAAGTGATTGATTGTTTGGTACTATACTGCATTGTCATTCTGCATATACTTGTTCTGATAGCGCGATTTGAGGTTGACTACTAAAATCTAATCTTTTGCCTCTTTTGTGAATTTTGGATTAGGGTTTTTTGAATTGATTTGTTTGGTGTTGTGGGTTGAATGAAAGTTTAATCTTTGGTTTGTTTATGAATAAGCAAGTGATTGATTGTTTGGTACTATACTGCATTGTAATTCTGCATATACTTGTTCTGATAGCGTGATTTGAGGTTGACTACTAGAATCTAATCTTTGGTATATGAATGAGCAAGTAATTGATTGACAGTAGATAGGATTCTGCCTACACTTGTTCCAATAGCGCGATTTGAGGTTGATTGCTAAGTTTTTTAGTTTTTAGTCTTACAATTGTATTTTGAGTGGTTTCGATGAAGCAATTTGAGGTTCAATACTTGTTTCTTTCAGTAGGATTCCTCGTATAATTGTTTGGGGATAATCGTTTGAGGTTCAATTTTATCATGAATTTTGCCTTTACTTCTTTAGATAGTGTGATTTGAGGTTTCATACTTGTTTTTACTGTAGGCTCCTCCTATACTTATATTTCGATAGGATTGACGTTCAAATTTTATCTTAAATTTTGCCAAGACTTGTTTAGGTAGTGTGGTTTAAGGTTTAATACTTGTTTTTACAATAGGTTTCCTCCTATACTTGTTCGAGTAGTGTCATTTGAGGTTCAATACTTAATTGTTGATAGGATTCTGCCTATATTTGTTCAGGTAGCATGATTTGAGGTTTGATGATTGTAGTTATGGTGATAATTTTGCAGTGTTCCCTAACTGAGAATAATTTCTTTAGTTGGTGATTTATGAACATAGATTGCCAGTGCTAGGCTCTATTAGAAGATTCTCTTTGAGCATTGCCTAACCAATCACTTAATTAACGGAAGCTTAAGGATGTGGTGATTCTTTTAGTTGTTGGTCATACCTATCAAGTTTTTATTAGCCAAGAGGATATTTGTGAAGGGTTAATCTTGGGGGTTTTTTTAGCTTGATTTGGGAGGTTGATAATATCTCTTCAAAGGATCTTCTTTTTTTTTTTTTTTCCCAATTCTACAACTGATTATACCCTATTCTTGCTCACTAAGATCTAAGGATTAGTGCTAATAAAAGTATATTTTTTTTTTTCAGCAAGGTACAATTCAAGAGTGTCTCGGTGTGATCGCTCCATGCATATCAAACATACAATCCGAGACCGGTAAGATGGCAGCAGCTCTACAAGAATTGGAGAAGCTGCTGGCTCCTTATGACCCCTCAACGGTCTAAATGAAAATATCTGTCTTTCGAACAAACTAGGATTCATGTTTCTGTGTACAGTATCAATTGTATATTTTTTTTCCAGTTTGATTAATGTTACCGGTTGATGCACCAAATAGCAACCTGCCCCTATTGTTACATGAGAAATGTTGATGTCTCACTTGTAATTACACCTTGTTAACACTTATAAAAACATTAATTTTGTTATATGACAAATGCAACTTTCGATTTTTCTCCAGTGGAAGATTTCCTAATTTATGATCTGAATTCTTTGATTTCCTTCACTGAAAAGAAACCAAATACAGAGAGATTGAAGCAGGTTTTGCTCCACCTCTTTAAAATTGCTTATATGCTTCACACCGATGTCGGTTTTGTGCGTGTCTGTGATAGGATGTAATGTGGGTGTTTAGGGAATTGAGCAAGTGCTTTCAATAGTTGATGGTCTTCATAGACCATGGTTGAACGGTGTGGAGTTACATAAAGATGCTCAGAAAAGTAAACAAACATTCCTTGCTTATGAAGGGTAAGATTTGAGCCTGAACACTCCCTTGTTATTCAGTGTTGGAAGGATGTTAGCTCATTACACTCAATCAAATTCTATTGTATAGCCCAAAAAAGAGGTTAACAATTATTCTTTTTTCATGTTTTCTGTACTGCTCTCTTTCTAATGAGCTTCTTATGGTCCACTAGGGGTCCATTGGGCCCAATTTTGTTGGAATTTGGAACTCCTTTTGCTCGTACAACCCAATCCTCTTTTTAATTTGTTTGCCACCTTGAGAATTTTGAAAAGGCAATAATAATGAAATGTAAGAAATTACGTTATGAAATAAAGTGATGGAAATGATAGGTTTCTTTCACAAAGGAACTACTAACATGTCGTATCGAGCTCGTTTGATCATTTGTTTAATCAACACTCATTCTCATGCTACTCTGATTTCACAAAATAAAATATAGTAACTCTACCTCATTTGTCAAATTATTGTTAAATCAACTCTCGTTTTCATATACAACCAATTTTTAATAACCTAAAAACAATAGCTTGTTTGGGCTATACAACCAATTTTTAATAACCCAAAAGCTTGTCATGTTGTCAATTATTAGCTTGTTCATTATTAGTTTGTTAATTCTAGTCTTGTCAATTTTAAACTTGTTAGTTTTTAGTTAGTATTGTAATCTTGTCAATTTTCTATTTGGATGATCTTTGTAAATAATTTTTCTTGGGAATTTTGGTAAAAAAATTTTTATACATATTTGGTTATCGATTGTGACTCACCAGTCGGAAATTCCTGGGTCCGCCATATATCCCTAGCTTTAGTAGATTATATAAAGTGTAGATACTAACAAACTACAGCACTTTCTTTGTAGTTTGTACAACAGAAGGCAAAGTATCTTTTTCGTTTCTTTTTTCTGTTGTACATCCAGGATTACCGAATATTAATTGGAAATCTAACCTCTAATTTTAAGATGGCGTGTGTTAGTTGATACCCGGCCATTTGCTTAATTTGTCTAGTTTTCGAGATAATATCTCCATCTTCAAGTCGTCATTTTCCATTGTAACTTTGTAAAATTTGAACTATAAAAGGGATTGAAACAATTGAGTTAGTAATATGCAATAATTGAAATGTATATTATATGCAATTCAAGGTTACCAATTTACCATAGTGATCCCTTACTTGTCAACTAGATTAGAATAATGAGTCATTCACCAATACAAAAATTTATTTATAAACCTCAACAATTGTGTTAATTTATTTTGGAAAAATATAAAGAAGTAACTTTTTTTTTTTTTTTTTTTTTGCCTGAAAAATATAAAATTTGACTTGCTAAATCAAGAAAGCGACCATATAATTTACTGGATACCTAAATTACAATTATAATATTGTCTTGTGATGGAGAGAAAATAATTTAATTACTAATTGATCGAAAAGGTTAATTTTATTGAGAGCAATTAACACCCTATATATTTACATTGCATACAGCATATATACTCAACCTTTTCTAATTATACTCAAGAACTTCTTTTTTTTCTTTTTTTTTTTTGGACAATAAGCAACCTATCTTTTGGATGTAAAGGTAATGATGCTAAGATTGCTAGCTTGCTTATGAAGTAGTACGTTCTTCTACGGAGTCCTACCTATATTATATAAAAATTGATTGAGGACCACAACAATTAAATTTATTAATTATGGGACATATGCACATTCTACATTATATATGTACTCTTTCTCTTTAATTGATCAAGCCAAGTTCAAGTAAAAGTTTTGTATATTATGTTACTTCGTATAGTATGAGTTGACAGTAAAACATTTGAAAACATTTCATTCAAAAAGAAAAATAAAGGAATAATAATAAATACTATTGTATATATGGAGTTCACGTTTTCTTAATGTACTTAGTTCTTTAACGATTGATGATCTGAAAATTTATTATACATCTATCTAAGTCTAAATGCATGATGTGTGTTACTTAAGCTTACAAATATATACATGTATAACACGTATGTGTCATATACCCCCGCGCCCCACCTTGACAAACTAAGGTAGTTAGATGTACTTTGTTATAATGAATTAGTGAATAATGTCCCCGGTAATCGAGCAATACATACACCATCATGTATGTATATGAATTAATTTTGACCACAAATACTATATATGTCCTCTTAGATCTATACATGAAGTTTAGAATGACAAGAAAACAAAAGGAAGTTGTATTGTAGTGAGTATAAATTTAATTGCCAACAAATGCAGTATTATTGTATTGAGCACTGCCTTATTTCTCGTGGCTAGTATTATTGTATATGATTTAATACCAATTAAATAAACCAACAATATGTTTTTTAATAATGAACAAAATGCTAATGTTTATCATTATTAATGCTAATGTTAATTGAACATCTTTTACAATAAAAACGAACATTTTATACAACTGAACAAAGACAAAAATTTGTATTAAGTTAAAAAAGAAAATGAACATTTATTTTATAAGAATAAACATCATGCGGCATGAAAACGAACATTTATTTTATAAGAATGAACATCGTAGTGTATGAAAATGAACATTTGATTATTGAGAAATACAAAATTATTGTAAAATATGTTCAGTTAGAAAATGTTCATTTTTATTATAGTAAATGTTCATTTCAGTAGCAACCTCATAAATACCTAGCTGGGCTCGACCTCAGCTATTAACGATTGAGCCCAAAAGGATGTATGACATTCGATATCATCCATCAAGGTTTATAGCTAACCTTCAACTACTTTGCCTCTTTAAGGACTTGTTCTCTTCAGCTTATTTCAGATACTTATTACTTATTCCTTAATAAATTCAGATCATATCAGACCAAATTAGAAATATTCAGATCAGACCAGATCAAAACTTTTGATTATCATTTAATTATCATTAAATATTGTTAATTGCGCATTAAAAAAAACTATAAATATTACATATTTGAAAAAATCATAATGAGACGAATCTAATAAGATCCATTTTGATAATGTTTTTCTTTATAGATTAGTACTACAATGCGGTCAAAGTTTAGTCAAATTGTTAAATCAGATCAGATAAAACCAGATAATAAAAATTCAGATCAGCCCTTATAAAAATCAGACCAGATCTACTTGTTTCAGGTGAAGAGAACAAGTCCTAAGTCCTTATCGTTAGATTATCTATTTCTGATTGTGTTAGAATATCTAGTTTTGAATTCTGATTGTTAATTAAGAGTAGACCTGATCATAGGCCCAGGTCGGTCTGGGCCAAGTCTTGGCTAAAATGACACATTCTGGGAAAAGGTTTGGGTTGGGTTAGACTACCCATTCAAGCTAAAAATAACTTGTGTTCATCTATGTTATGTTATTTCAATTCAAAAATAACAGGATTTTCATTTTCAAGTCGAGTTAAAATTTAACTAAAGATTAATTTCTAAGCTCCCCAAATCCTTTTAAAAATTGGGTTGGGCTTGAAATTTGAAACCGGGTATTGTACTAGTCGAGTTGCTGTTGATCAACTCTAGTTAGAGTAACCCAACTTTTTGAGGAAATAGAGTAACCCAACTTGAAATATTGATCAAGGTAATTCATTATTCGAATTTAGATGTTTTGATTTTGACTTGAATCGAATTTTACTTGTCTAAACTAACTTTAATCCAAAATTCAATTTGATTCAGCTGATTGAATTTTAAATCAAACAAACAATATGAAAAAAGAACTAAATTTAATCAAGCTCAAAATCAACCGAATGACCAAATTTAGACACTCTTCTAGTTTTCTATCACCTATCCATCCCTCATTCTGCCCCTTATCTTTCAATTCGTAATCCCTTCGATTTTTTCTTTCCTACCCAATCATTTTGTTGTTGTTGTTGTTGTTGTGTTTAATAACTTGTTTGCCAAGTATTGCTCTTCATTTAACATGGTACATAATGAAAGAAATTGGTAATATATATCCACTCAAAAAAGCTCATATATATTAGATATTAGCATCATATTCATACAAAGTCCTAGCTATATGCATATTACTAAACTACAATGGTGCATACCTAGCATACTCTTTATTGCACTTTCTTCATCTCATTTTCTTCTTCTTCCCTCTTATGTATGTACATGTAACAAACTAATCCGTAGACACTCGTAAATTCGTAATAGTCAAATTAATTCATCACAACTCATATTTTTTTTTCTTGAATTTACTCATTGCATCCACAAAAATCACTCAAAATCTCATCCAACAAATCACTTAACACCTCATCTTCCAATTCAACTCCTAATTCTGTTTTTTCCTCCTCAAACTTGTTCCATTGTCCTAGCTTTTCCATGCACTCTTTTTTCTCCATTAAACTTTCGTTTCCTCGTTTAAACCAACAAAATCCCTTACTCGAGTTAGCTTTACTCTTCACCTCGATTGGTTGCTCGTCTTCTTCTTCTTCTATTGAGTCTGTTTCGCCGTCATCATGGACACCAGCCAAGTCCTCGAACCATTGGATGCTTTGAAGGAGCCTTTGCTTCGTTCCTACATTGGTCCATGAACAAGTTTTTGCTATTAGGTTGATGGTAACGATTTTATAACTCGGAAGACATGTTGGTTAGAGAATTAGGAATGTGCTTACTTTCCATATTAGCCATTTTTTGGTCAAAAGATAAAGGTAAATCTTCTTCTGATACTTCATCTCTAAATGGAGAGTTAAGAACAGAAATTGGACTTTGTTGCTCTGTTCCTTCTTCACTTCCTATGTTAAGCTTATCCTGCAATGACATAAAGATTGCAACACTTTTTGTTACAACATACTCCATGTTCTAATAAGCATAATAATAGATAAAGCAATCTAAGTCGCTAATCCAAAGGCACGATTAAACTAGCATGTTCTTGCTTGATCCAAGTAGATAAGTATTATAGATAAGCAACAAATAAAGTCATTTTCAAAATATCTATACAACATTTAGAATTTATAACAAAATCACACATCATTATAACTAACATGTTATACCTAGCGAAATCCAAAACCGCACTAAATTGTATGTCCCTACAAAATTAATTATGAATGATTGTATAGTTATGGTCCTTATGGATGGACTACAAGACATGTAGCATGTTACTTTGCTAAAGGAAGGATCGGATGTAATATAAAATTCCTGCAAAAATGTCTGAAACAGTAAGATGGCTATAATCCCAACAACTGTATATTATGTTGAACCAGCAAGATAATGCAAAGCAGGTCAACTAAGCAACGCGCTAATCCAATACAAAAGGACAAAGGGTGACCCATGATTGTTTACAAGCTCAATTCCAAACATATACTACTTGCTTGACTTATTGTCATGTTACTTTCAATGGCTCCCCTTACCCTCAACTACCAGACACTTGCACAGTTGCACTCCTTATGCTTCCCAATTCAAGGTCCGGTTAACGTCGCCGTCTCTATTACATCTAAACGATATGGGTTATTTTGGGTCGTATTCAAGTGATGAGTAAAATTGGTTTTAATCAAAATCTGATGAAGTCATTTTATAGTTTGTAGTAAAGTAGTTTATGATATAATAAGTTATTTAGTTTTAAAGTCATGTTTAATTTTGGGGCATGCTTGAGTCAAATTCAATTCTTTTTATCATAATGTCATTAAATTTCAAGTGCAATTTATTAATTAGTCAAGTCAGTTTCATAATCTAATTTATTAAAATAGAAAACAAAAATACAAAAAGACCTTTGTTTCATGGACCGCAATTGCATATAATTGGACATATTGTACAATATTTATGAACCACATAAGTTTTGGGGAGCAAAAAGTGCACAAAATTAAATACGTAAATGATAATTGTCGCCAATGAGGTGTCTTTGCTTATCTAGCTAACTAGTAACAAATAATAATTAGCAGGTTTAAATCTCTTCATCCCTTCTTCGGTAGTTTGTGATTTATAATGCTATACTTCATTACAATTCAACGTCGAACATACAAATTTTAATTATCAAAGATAAGATACATAACATTTTAAAAACATGAATGCAATTATAATACCTAATATTTTCTAATTATCATTACCCAAAAAAAAAATCTACTTTCATAATTAGCCATATTATAATTTCTAACAAGTACCAACCATAAAACTTTGGTAAAAATCAAAAGTAGCACACCATGTGCACATAATTAAAAAGTAGACACCCTCCAAATATGTCAATTTTTCAACCGTATCCTCTAAAAAAACCAAAGCCAAAAAAAAAAAGTGAATAGAAGTCGTTACCTCTTTGGACCCCACTTCAGAATCCGATGCACCATCAACACCAACGTCGTCCCAATTTTTACCGTCTTCATCACCGGAATCACCCATACAACACGGTAACTCCTCATCTTCCGCCGCCGCCTCCACCGCGGTAAATTCACTTTCACCCCAACTCACTTCCGATCCATCATTACTATTACTATTCGTGGGCGCGTCATTGGCGGGCCCCACAACATTATCATCCAAATGATGGGCTTCCACCTCTTCCTCTTCCTCGACGACTCGAAACGATTTCCACCGTAGGATATCCTTGACTCTAACCGTGACCACCATTATCTTACTACTCCTTACCTCACCGGATAATTTATTATCTGATCTCTTCGTTTTGTTACGCAATAATCTTTCTAACAACCTCTTTGAACCACTCCTCTGCAACGTTGACGGCGTTGCGGATGAGTTGTTGTGGAAGCTTTTAACCGCGCTAAGAAGCTTCTGGAATGAGGTCAATGCTGCTCGTGATCGGCTCCGGCTCCTAGGGAGGGTACTAGCCGCCTCCATTGAGAAGCCGGCTTGATTATTACTGTTTGGGTCCAATTTAGTCCAATTGGGCCTGGTCACTGAATGATCCAATTAAAAGCCCAAGGTTAAGGTTCAACTCTCCAAATGTGCTAAAGTCAAAAATCAACATCCTCAAAGCCATGTCAAGGTCAGTCAACGGCCCAATCAGCTTGGCCCAGCCCAACTGACTTCCGGGCCCAATCCGCCTCCTTCATTAGCCAAGGTATAAAAGCCAACAATTTGTTCAATTCTTGGTAAGACAATAAAGCCTCAAGCAACTAAACTCTTGCACAGCTTTCTCTCTCTAATATACTGACTTAAGCATCGGAGGGGCCTTCCTCGGCGTCCCCCCCGAGGCTAGTTTACGTGTATTTGTTGTGCAGGAAACCCTCGGCTCCTGCGTCGTTCGGACCGAGACCAAGTTCCCTCAAGATAAAAGGATCTTCCGAGATTCGATTGTTTTCATCCGAAACAATTTGGCGCCGTCTGTGGGGAACGCTACTAAATTTCGCGTCAGTCATCAAACACTCCGGCAGTCGCCATGACTAAGAGTGGAAAGAGTTCCAAGAAGGCTAAGAAGGGAGGAGGCCGGATTACGGTGAGGGAACGCCAGCCGGTTTATCCCTCCCCGGAGCAAGCCTCTTCCGAATCGGAGGCCCCCATTTCTCCGGAAAGGGAAGCCTCAAGAGGTCCTAGCCTCCAGGAGGAGAACACCTCGCACCACACTCGGCAGCCGGGGCCATCCCCGAGACCGAGTGGCTCAGGTGCGAGGAACTCCCCGCCACGCCATAGCGTGCAATCCAGGTCACATCCGCGGGAGACTCCTCCCTCCGGACCCTCCACCGAGGAAGTGGCCAGAGCAGTGGCCATCTGCATGGAGTTCCTTAAAGCTCAAGGGGCTCCAATCCAGATGCCTGATGATCACCAGCCGAGAAACCTGAAAAGGAGGATCGGTCAGGATGATGGTGGACAAGTTCCACCACATAGAGAGCTCGGCCAGAGGTGGCGAGGGGACACCCGAAACTCCAGTAAGGAGAGGAGGAGGAACCCTCAACCCTCTGACCACTCCGAAGCTCAGAATTCCATGGGGCCCTCCAAGGACCCGGAATTCGCCCGCCAAAGCGTTCACGAACGCTTGGGTTCGAGGGAGGTGAGTGTGCATAGCCGCCTCACCTTCCCAGAGGATACCGGACCCCACCCAACCTTGTCTCAGCCGGGGACGAAAACCACTTCCACCTCTGAGAGAGGAGGGAGCGAGGTCCCTGAGGCCGGGTACAAGGGGAAGGCGGTCATGGTTCCATCGAACTCGCCCTTCCAGAAGTGGATTCTGGAAGAGCATGTGCCAACGGTCAAAATCCCGGCACATATTACTTACGATGGTACCTCAGATCCTAAGGATCACATTGCCTCTTACGAGGGGCACATGTATCTGAACCCGAGGTCTGAGGCTACCTGGTGTAAATACTTTCCTACGACCCTCAAAGGTGTTGCCCAATCCTGGATCACCAAAGGGCTCAAGGAAGGCTCCATAACCGGTTGGAACGACCTCTCCAACAAGTTCAAGAGCAAATTCTCTACGGCCAACCGCCGAGAGAAGACCACTGCAGAGCTAATGAGTCTGCAGCAGGCGGAGGACGAGAGCCTCCGCGACTATCTGACTCGCTTCAGCAACGAGTCATCCGGAATCACAAGCCTGGATCAAGGCCTGGCCGTGTTCGCGCTACGGAACGGCCTCCAAGCTGGAAAGTTCCTGGACTTCATGGTCATGCATCCCCCGCAGACCCTGGAGGAAGCCTTGGAAGCATCGGATAGGTTCATCCGAGCCGAGGAGTGGAACAGATCCAGGTCTCAGTCTCGTCCGAGAATTGACAAGCCGAAAGGGCAGCAGCCCGAAGTCTCGGCGCAGAGGAAAGGGAAGGCTAAGGCCTCAGAACCGTCCTCTGCTGCCGAGCCGAAGAAGGAAAGACACTTTCCCTACACGGGAAGGTACGATTCATACACTCCACTCTCCCTTCCCCGTGCTAAGATTTTCAGCACGACGAAGGACGAGGGGAGATTCAAAAAACCTCGTCCGTTGCCTCCCTGGCATCAGACGAGGGGAAAGGACCAGTGGTGCGAGTTCCATGACTCACCCGGACATCGCACCGAGGACTGCGTCCAGCTGAAGGACCAGATTGAGGATCTGGTCCGCAAGGGGTACCTGAGCCAATACCTCGCGGACAGGCGCGAGGAGAAAAAAGCTGAAAAAGATTCTCGGCAGGACCTCAACTTCGCTCGGAAGAAGGATAAGGGACCTCAGGGCAAGGAGTCCCTCGACATCCTAGTTATTTCCGGGGGAATCTCGCGAGGCACAGCCAAACGCCAACTGAGGGGTCTAACCCATCAGATTCATCTGGCTGAGCTTCGGCAGTCCCAGTCACCGGCGCCGAACATCCTGTTCACAGCCGAAGACTGTGAGGGGGTGGTATACCCCCACGATGACCCACTAGTAATCATTCTGGGCATCGCCAACCGCAACGTCTGGCGGACCCTCGTCGACGGCGGTAGCGGGGCGAACATCCTCTTCCGAGGAGCGTTCGACCAGCTGAGGATGGGAGCCGAGCACCTGGCCCCCGCACCCTACCCGGTGTCTGGATTCAACGGCTCTTCCTCGTATCCTGACGGGAAGATTACACTTCCTGTCACCATCGGCGAAGGCCGAGCAGCTAGGAATATCATGGCCGAATTTTTGGTCGTAGATGCTCCATCTGCATACAACGTGATCATGGGGAGACCCCTCATTCACGGCATTCAAGGAGTCGTCTCCACGTATCATCAAATCATGATATACGTTTCAGACGAGGGACGCTCCGAGAAAATAAAGGGCAGTCAAAAAGAAGCCCGCCGATGCAATCACCTCAAGCCATCCACGTCTCGCCGAGGCGACCGTGGCGATGGGGAGGAAAAGCACCGGGACCGAAACGCCAAAAAGCCGAGAGGCTCAGACGTTTCGGCTAATGAAGCCCCAGACAACGAGAAATCTGATGGGGGCCAAAAGGCTGACTCCGCCTCAGAGCCGAACGACTCTGATGGCCAGCCGCGGTCAGGAAAGTCTGCTAATATTGATAGCAGGCCGGAATTCGAGGAATCCAACTCTAAGAGCATGGAGACGGATGACCTGACCGAGTCAATAGAACTGACCGTAGGAGATCCGAACAGATGTGTTAGCATCGGGTCGTCACTGGAGCCAAACACCCGTGCGGCACTCGTCCAACTCCTACGGGCCAGTGGAGACGTGTTCGCCTTCTCAGCCGCAGAAATGCCCGGGATTGATCCGGACTTCGTCTCCCATAGGCTTAATGTCGACCCCTCCAGTCGACCCATTAAGCAGAAAAAGCGGAACTACTCCGCCGAAAAGAACCAGAACATCGCAGCTGAGGTCGATAAGCTCCTAGATGCTGGGTTCATTGAACCCTGTCAGTATCCGGAGTGGCTGGCCAATGTTGTAATGGTTCAGAAGGCAAATGGTAACTGGAGGATGTGCGTTGACTTCACGGACCTGAATAGGGCATGTCCCAAGGACTCCTATCCGCTGCCGAGGATCGACCAACTGGTCGACTCGACAAGCGGGCATGCTCTGCTCAGTTTCATGGACGCATTCTCGGGATACCATCAGATCTTCATGCACCCCGAGGACCGAGCTAAAACAGCGTTCATAACAAGTTCCGGGTTGTACAATTACAGAATGATGCCCTTCGGATTGAAAAATGCGGGGGCAACATATCAGAGGTTGGTTGATCAGGTTTTCGCCGAGCAAAAAGGCCGAAACATGGAGGTTTATGTTGACGACTCAATCGTCAAAAGCATAAAAGAAAAAGATCATGTCACGGACCTAGCCGAAACCTTCGCCACCCTCAGAAAATACAAAATGAAGCTGAATCCGAAGAAATGTGTCTTCGGCGTGAAGTCAGGCAAGTTCCTCGGCTTCATGGTCAGCAAGAGGGGGATTGATGCAAACCCCGCCAAAGTACAAGCTGCTTTAGACCTCCCCGAGCCGAAGACAAAAAGGGATATTCAGCGTCTAGCCGGGAGAATGGCTGCCTTGTCCAGGTTCATCTCACGAGCCTCAGACAAAGGGCTCCCTTTCTTCAAGGCGCTGAAGCTCCAAAATTCAAAAGGCATTGAATGGGGAGACGAACAAAAGTCAGCCTTTCAGCAGCTCCGTGAACACCTGGCTCAACTCCCAACACTGGCAAGGCCAGTCGTAGGAGACATCCTATACTTATACGTGGCGGTCAGTCCAGCCACGGTAAGCGCGGTGCTGCTAAGGGAAGAAGAAAAAGTTCAACAGCCGATCTATTTCGTCAGCCACACCCTGACGGATGCCGAGACGCGCTACCCATTGTTAGAAAAAGTGGCTTATGCAGTGGTGGTGGCTGCTCGGAAGTTGCGACCCTATTTTGATTCTCATCAAATAGCGGTTCTAACTGATCAGCCGTTAGAGAAAGTCCTCGGCAAGGTTGAAAAATCCGGTAGACTAGCAAAGTGGGCTTTCGAGCTCACCGAGTTCAGTATCGGTTATCAGCCGAGAACAACCATCAAGGCGCAAGCCTTGGCAGACTTCTTGGCCGAGTGCTCCTATCAGGAGACTCTGGATGCAAGGAGGAAAATCTGGACCGTCTTCACGGATGGGTCCTCCACCGTGAACGGTTCGGGGGCAGGGGTCGTCATTACCTCTCCCGAAGGCAAAACCTTCGAGTATGCACTAAAATTTTCATTCAAAGCCTCTAACAACGAGGCCGAATATGAAGCAGCCATTGCTGGCTTAGACCTGTGCATATCGTTGGAAGCCGAGCATGTCTACCTCAAGACAGATTCTCAGCTGGTCGCCAATCAGATCCGGGGGGAGTATGAGGCTAAAGAGCCTTCAATGGCAGCTTACCTCACAAGGATCAAATCGACAATTGCGAAGCTGAGATCTTTCGAAGTAGAGCTGATCCCAAGGGGTCAAAATGCTCAAGCGGACGCACTCTCCAAACTTGCAA